AGTTACTTGGTATTTGAAAAAAGCAAGAGGTGTGAGTGAATGCACAGATATAGAGGACTAAAATTACATATGCAGTCTTTGATACTAGACTGTAAAGTGAGAGGTAGAAAGCGATGGGAATCAAAATTAGATTATAGTAGGAGAGAGAAGGGAGTTTGTGCATCATGTTGAAGAGCTTGGAACATATCCTACAAAGATGTAAAATCATTGGTTAAGTGTTGAGTCGTTGGTTTAGGACATACTACTCTAAAACGCATCACCTGGGCATTTTGAGGAAACAGCAGAAGCGGAAAGATCACTGTGAGCTTCCTCATACTCTTCTCCCATAAAAAAGTCATTAAACTTTCATTTGACAGGTACCATCTTGAATAACTAAAAAAAATTCTTATCTCTAAAGATACATCACTGCAGAACAAAAAGAGGACTTGTTTCTTGTACCCTAGTTTATTGCCATTATCGAGATGATGGATTTTCCCTAACTATGCTTTTCTATGATTATACCCTTATCTATCTGGCACAGAAACTACTTTTTACCAGACTTGCTGGGCTACTTTTCCTTACAATAGCTCCATGTTGTATTAAACTGATATTAAATGGACTTGTATGTGCCTTTTCTGAAATTGTCTTTTGTTATGTGAGACTAAGGCAGGAATCTTAGAAAGGAAAGAAGATATATTTTCCCTTACATGAACAATGAAATCATATGAAATATATAGCAAAGTGAAAAATGAATGTAGAGGCATGTAGCAGAAACCTGAGTGGGTAGTGGAAAATAAATTATTGTACTAATCAAATGTCAAGAGTTGTACAAATGCAGAGGAAGGTGAAGAAGTTAAGAATACAGAAGGGGCGAGTTCATCAAGATGCATTGTATTTACAAACTCACATGTTGAATTGAAACCCCTTTGTACAACTACTTAAGGGTAATAAAATTTTAATAATAATAATAAATACTTAAGCAGTTTTAATCGTCATGCATGGTCAAACTGGACATGTGTGGCAGACAACAGGAGTCCAAGATGATTCATTTCATTCTGGTTGTAGCAACTTAAAGAATGATAGTGCCACAATGGGAAAAAGAAACATGCGGTTAATAAAGGGCATGACACTGAAATGATGAGCCTTGGATATACTGTGAATTAAACAGGAGGAGATGTTCAGAAAGTAGATTCATGAGTCTGAGCCTCAGGAAAAGAAAGTGTGCTGTGTTAGACTTCTGTGAGTCAACAATATCCAAATTATCGGAGTAGGTATTGTCCCTTGGAGATAGTGTAGGAGAAGCAGCGAGCCTATCTAGCATTATCTATTGTAGAGAATGTGGACCAGGGAACAATAAAAACCATCCAGAAGTGGTGTTTATGTGGGTCAGAGAGCCCTGTGTTGTGACATGACTGACAGAGAAGGGGACTTCATAAGAATGTCAGCATCAAGGCCATTAAATGGAAGAGAAATAATTGTAAGGTAAGGACGGACAAGCAATCATCAGGTTTAACAATGTCGTGGGCCCTAGTATCTCCTCCAAGAGTATTTTCAATAAGCACGGGGACAAATTGCTTTGATAAATCAAATATAAGAAAATTTCATGAAGAGAATATTTATTTTGTACTCAAGAAGTTGACTAGAAAGAGGATTAAAATGGAATTAACAGTGGGAGGATTTTTCTTCTCTGTACAGAAAGGACATCTTTGAGATGAAAAAACAAACAGTATATAACAGTGATCACATGTGGGCAGATTCATAACCTATTAGCCTTTCCTTGGCTATTACTTTTAGAATAATAAAAAAAACTACCTTCTTACTTTTTTAAAACTAAGCTCCAACATGTACTTCAACATGGAAACTTCCAAAATTCTCCAAGAATAGTTATGCTCTCTTGAGTATATTCTACACATATAATATCAGTTCTTCTCTCCTACAAGAATACAGGCTCTTGGAAATGTACAGCAGGATTTCTATTCTCATTTACATTTCAGGTACAAACTATGGCTGTAATTTACTAAATTGATGAATTCACACTTGATCATCTCAAAGTCATCTTAAACTTATCTGGTCTAAAACAAAACTCTTAGACATTGTGAGTCAATGTATGTCTTCTCTCTTCAAGTTGTAAATATGACAGCCTTCCATATCTTCTGCATCCACTTTATCTCTATGTCTCATTCATTCTATGCTAAAGCAAGACCTTAGATCTAAAGCACTGTGCAGAGATAGCAAGAACTCTTGTCTGTTGTAATGACAATTGTCTAGCATGACTCTCTGCTTCTGCCTTCCACTTATCCCCAAATTTTTCTTACACCAATAAGAACCCAATTAAAAATATACTCTTAATTGTATTTCTCATGACTGCCAAAATCCATGCAATTATTCCTTATTGTACTCAGCAATGAAACACAAATCATGAACATGTTGTAGCTTGTGGATGATTTAGCCCCTGTTAGCCTTCTGATTTCTTTTGACACTACTCTCCCATCTGCTTTTCCACATGCACACCTACACATGAACTGTCAGGGCCAACAAGTCCATTCTCCCTATCATTTGCTAGCTGTGTCTATTTATTATATTTGAGCTAACTTTTCACTTCTGTTTTCACTAACTCCTGTTTTTTGCATGTCTGGCTGTATACATACATTGAACATGTATGTATATATACATATAAGTATATATAATATTTAGTATTGTATATGTATTATGTATGCATCTTATGTAAAATATAGAATATACAGATATATATGTTTACATACATATCTATAGCTTTATCTCTATATATATTTATAGATGTATAGATTTATGTATGTATAATTTTATATGTGGAACTTGTACATCTACAAATTTTGTTATCTATGGGAAATCAACATCCTCCCCTCAGATACCAAAAGATGAATGTATTTATTTATAAGGTGTTTAGCTACACAAGGTCAAGAACAGGTAATATTTAAAATTCAGCAGTAATCCAGGTTGAAATAGAAAAACAAAACATAAAGAAAATGATATCAGCAGTATTTACTACTCACCTCTCCCCAAATTAATCATCATTATTTTTTCTTGCTGGCATTTTAATGTTGTGTATGTGTATATATTTACACATTTTAGCTCACCTATTCATTTCATAAAAAAATTTGATGCCCATGTATTTAGCACTGAGTCAAACTCTGAAGATATTAGGATGAATAAGACCATCAAAAAGCTTGTTGATTAATCATAAAAATAGACCTCAAATTCTATCACAAGGTATTTTGATGCTGTACTTAATGAGAATTTCTTAAGTAAAAGAAAGTCTCCTGTATAAGTACCAATTCCTAAAAAAATTCTTAATGCAAGCAAGTCACAGCTCTTTTCTTTTCTTTGAACAAGGCTTTTGAAGTAAGATAAGACAGCCACCACAGATAATCTCTCATCTTCTGAGGGTAGCATCTCACTGATGACCTGACAGTCATCTACCCTCTAAGAATTCTGTACTAATATTCATCTTCCTTCTGGAATTGCTAGCTGGGCTGACATATCACGGGATCAGCCCTCTGTCCAGAGAATTCCTTCTAGCCTCACCTATTCCCCCTCATTCTCTTCTATCCATAAATACATGTTCTCTTACCATATTGCAATGTTTTTACTTATTGTATTCTCAAGTAAGCTGTAAGCTGTTTTAAGATGAATACAGTATCTTAATTTATGTATGTTTATTTCATTAGTAGGCAAATGAGGAGTATGTTGTGATTGCACTGCAGGCAAGTTAGAATGAAGGTTAAGAGAAGTCATATTTTGCTTTTGTATTGTAAAAAGTTAGAACTGGCTATGTAGTATAGAGCCCACAACACAAGGGAAAAAGGTGAGTGTGGGCTGGAAAGGTGGCTCAGTAGTAGAGTGCTTGCCTTGCATGCATGAGGCCTTGTGTTGGATTCCTCAGCAGTACATAAACAGAAAAAGCCAGAAGTGGTGCTGTAGCTCAAATGGTAGAGCACTAGCCTTGAGTGAGGGATAGCGAGGGCCCAGGCCCAATTTTTAGGCTACATGACCCACAAAAAAAAAAGACAAGTGTGCCATGTATCCAATATTACTTAAAAATTTATTAGTTGCCACCACGGCTCATGTCTGTAATTCTATCTACTCAGGAGGCTGAGATGTGAGATTGTCATCTGAAGCCAGCTTGGGCAGGAAGTCTAAAGGACATTTTTTCGGTTGTGGGGCCTGAACTATGGGCCTGGGCGCTGTCCCTCAGCTCTTCAGCTCAAGGCTAGTGCTCTACCACTTGAGCCACAGCGCCACTCCAGCTTTTTCTACTTATGTGGTGCTGAGGAATTGAACCCAGGGCCTCATGGATGCAAGGCAAGTGTTCTACCACTGAGCCACCTTCCTAGTCCCTCTATGGGACTTTTATTTCTAATTGCCCACCAAAAGAGCTGGAAGTGGAGCTATGGCTCAAGTAGTAGAGCAATAACTTTGAGGATAAAAGTTCAGAGATAAAACCCAGGCCTTGAGTTCAAGCCCCAGAAAAGATACACACACACACACACACACACACACACACACACACACACACACACATTTATCAGTTGGAGATTTTGTTTCACTTAAGGAACATCATTAAGAAAAGGAAAGAGTTTTAGTTTCTGCTGCCTTGCTGCTCTGGGATGTGTGTGGATATGTGTACATAGTGGGCAAAGTGTATATTTTCGCCTTTCCCTAGCTGGCACTTTCCCCTTGACACTTCTGATAACATACTTCACTAAAGTCCTATTTAGGAACTTCTGGGCAGTTCATTCTAGGCTGAGAATGGCAAGTAGACAACCTAGAAGTTCTAATATAATTAGGATGGGAGTATAGGTAGATCTTCCCCTAAGACCTGAAAATGAGCTCAGTCTTTCAAAAGACTTGGGTGCCCAATGAAAGTGTTTGTCCCATAGTGAGAATAAACCAAGATGAGAAATACTTGGATATGTCAATATCCAATATCTGTTCTTTCCAGTTCACTTTGGAGGAGTGTGCTAATCACATGACACTTGTACCTGTCAGATCATCTGTGGGCCAGGACCCCAGCTGGCAAGCTTTGCAGGTGTACTCATCAAAGACATACTCGTTCTCCTTACAAGGAGTGCACGTCCAACAACAGCTGACTTCTCCCTTCCGGATCACCTAATGCAAATATTAAGGAAGTTAATCAACTTTTGCATATTTTTTGATTAATTATTTTTAGACAAAGACATCAAATCACTTATCCAAATTTTGTGTGCTGCTTTGTAAAGCAGAAAGGACTTTTCATTCAAATTTCTTTTTTTTTAAATTGTGAAAATACTGTACAGAGGGGTTAAAAGTACATAGGCAAGATAATGAGTACATTTCTTATCAAGCATTGTAGCCTCCTCCTTTGATTCCCTTTCCCATCCCTTCCCATCCTCTTCCCACCCCCCCCAGTCCTCTCTTTCCCCCCACCCCCCACCTCCCGCACCAAAGTTGTAAAGTTCGTTTTCGACATAACGACTTGTGTATCTCATTGTTGCAATGGGTCCACCTGTATCCCTATTTAAACAATTTGTTTTTCCCCTTCCCCTCCACAAATTATACCGACATCAAATACAGTGAAAGCAGGGTTATACTGTGGGGGAGGGACATACAAAGCAACAAAGAAATAATCTTATAAATGTGTTAGAAACAATCGCATGAAAGAAAAAAAAACATGTGAATACATATTTTAGGGTTCATTTCCCTAACATCAACTTATCTGACCTTTTCTGCTTGACTCAGACATATACTGCATATATTGCAAATAAGGGAACCCATGGGACCTATGTTTCTTTGGGCCTGGCTTACTTCACTTAATATAATTTTTTTCCAAGCCTTTCCATTTCCTAACAAATGAGGCAATGTCATTCTTTCTGATGGAGGCATAGAATTCCATTGTGAATATATACCACATTTTCTTGATCCATTCATCTACTGAGGGGCATCTGGGTTGGTTCCATATCTTAGCTATAGTAAATAATGCTGCAATAAACATAGTCGTGCTGGTAGCTTTAGTGTGGTCTTGTTTGTGAACATTTGGGTAAATGCCCAAAAGTGGGATTGCTGGGTCATAGGGGAGCTCTATGTGGAGTCTTTTGAGGAGCCTCCATACTGCTTTCCAAAGAGGTTGAACAAGTTTACACTCCCACCAACAATACAGTAGGGTTCCCTTCTGTCCACATCCCCTCCAGCATCTGTTGTTATTGGAGTTCTTGATTTTAGCCATTCTAACTGGAGTGAGGTGTTGTTTTGATTTGCATTTCTTTTATGGCTAGGGATGTTGAGCATTTCTTCATGTGTCTATTGGCCATCCTTCTTTCCTCTTCAGAGAAGTTTCTCTTTAAGTCTTTAGCCCACTTATTTATTGGGCAGTTGTTTCTTTGAAGATTTGTTGTTGGGGGATTTAATTTTTTGAGTTCCAGGTATATTTTAGGTATGAGACCCTTGTCCATTTTATGGCTAGTTTAATTCAAATTTCAAATGCTATTAGGCAAAATAAATATCAATATCCTTAATTTATAATTAAAGACACCGAAGATGAATGTAAACATAAGTGGTGATAAGTCCAAAATGATGAAGATGGTGGGTGGCAAGATCAAGAACTAAATTGAACTGAGATCTGATGGCTCATGCCTATAATCCTAGCTACTCTGGAGGCTGAGATCTGAGGATCAATATTTGAAGCCAGCCCAGGCAGAAAAGTTCATGAAACTCTTAGCTTGAATTAACCAGTAACATGTCAAAGACATCTGTAGCTCAAGTGTCAGAGTGTTTGCCTTAGATGAAAAAGCTCAGGAACAGTGCCAAAGCTCTGTGTGTGTATGTATGTGTGTGTGTGTGTGTGTGTGTGTGTGTGTGTGTGTGTGTGTTGGTTCATACACACACACATAGAGCTAAATCATGTGAAACTTTATGGATAATTAGTTATGGATGTCTGTATTTTAGTAAGTACCTGTGTTTTTCCTCACATGTATATTTACATATTTTATATATAATATGTCTTTTCTTTCCCCAAATTAGACACTTTTGCGCTCTAGATTTACCTTGGTTTCTTTCCACTAGTGAATAATTTTATCTCTTTATGTTTAAAAAAGTCTATCCCTATTGATAAAAATGATAAGAATTTTGTATTTGAAAAACAGAGCCAAAGGAAAAAGGGTGTGTGGGGATAATGTCTTTACTGCTTCAATAATTCAGCCCATTTTTTTCTCTCCAATAGCTTTGCTTTGCTTGAAAAGAAGAGAGGCCAAGGTGCTTGAGATGACTGCACATGGCTTCATCTTCTTATTTTTTTTAGACAGTAGAAAATAACCAAACAAACGCATCATTTGGAAGAGTTCTAGATGCTACTTTCTAGAAATGAATGTATACTTTTTCCCTCCATGAAGTGAAAACAGAATTCATTCAACAATCTTATAAATAAACATTATGATGATCTCATATTCCTCATCTTACATACTGTCTTCACTAATGAACTTTGATAAAGCACATGGTCTATGACCAGATATAATTGTAATTGGCACTGCTTGTATTTTCTTTTGGTCAAAATCCTTTCTTAACTCTCTGAATGATACCATGTGATGCTTCATTACTGAAAGTTACAGTTTTAAATCATATTGAAGAAAATGTTGTTAAATGTACACTTAATAGAGTGAAAATTAGATCTTAAGAAAATAGAATTTTGGAATTAAAAATGTCTGAATGTGTTATTGCTAAATAACTAGTATTAATACTGTGAGAATAGGCAATCATTTTCTCTATTAGTTAAGCTATTATTAGTAGAATGGGGGTAGAATATAAATCGTCCAAAACAAAAAAAATTCCAGTATTTTTAAGCTACTGGCTCAATTCTATTGATGTAAAAAATTAAAAACAAGGAACACCCATGTGGCAATTTACATTGCATAATCTGAAACATTTAACAAGCATTTAACAGGTATAAAATTCTCAGGTCATCATCTAGCAAGAATTAGGAAACTTTTCCTGAAAAGGTCCAAATAGTATATATTTAGGATTTGGATTATACAATTACAATCATCTATTAAATTGCTAGTATATAGCATGAAAAGTAGACCCAGATAATATGGTTTTTCAACTGAGCTATTTTGTGAAAACAGGCAGTGGGTCAGATTTAGACTGTGAGTCATAGTTTTAACTCTTGTTGCATCATGAAATGAGACACACAGAGATTTTCAACTATTTCATAATCTTTGATCCTTTTAGGAAGTATGAACAAACTTATTTTTATATTCTTTGGCCTTGTCTTTCTTTCCCCTACTCTTATGCTTTCCAGATCTTCAGAACAACCCTCTGAGCACTTTACTACCAATACTAAAATAAGTCAACTTCTTTCTAGCATCTCAAATATGTTCTAGAATGACTAAAGATGATTCTGATTGAAATCAAGGCTCCAGGTAAATCTATTGCTTGAAAGTGTAACTATTGCTTGAAATTGTAACACAATAACTAACATCTTCCTCCTTTAAAATAATTTCAGCCAGGAACTGGTGTCTCATACCTGTAATCCTAGCTACTCAGGAGGCTGAGATTTGAGGATCCAGTTTTTTTTTTCATTTTTCTTTTTTTTTTTAAATTTTATTTTATTTGTGAACAAACTGTACAGAGGGGTTACAATTGCATGGGCAGGATAATGCGTACATTTCTTACCAATGAGGATCCAGTTTTGAAGACAGCCTGACCAAAAAAGTCTATGGGATTCTTATCTCCAATAAACTGCTCAGAAAAAAACTGGAATTGGTGCTGGAGCGCTAGCCTTGAGCAAAAGAAGCTCAGTGACTGCATCTAGGTCCAGAGTTCAAGCTCCCAGGACTGGCAAAAATAAATAAATAATTAAAACAACACTATTTTCATCCTTTTCTTCTTTTTTAAAAATTTTATGGAAGCATGAATAAACTAGAATTGGTCTAAAACTAGATTTTCTGTGTCCTCAAATTACTATCACTTGCTTGCTTTTCACTTCACAATTCTTTTTTTTTTCTTTACACTGACCCAAAATATACAGTCTACATTTGAGCTTATTCAAATACATTGTCTGGGTTTTGGAAAATGTTGAATAACAAATATCCACCATTATAGTAGCAGAGCTTCACTGACCTAAAAAAATCCTCTATTCCTCCTGTTTATTCTTCCTTCTTTCTAGCCCTAATGTTTTACTATCACCACTATTCTTACAGAATGTTCTATAGTTGGAATTATAAGTTATATAACCTTTCCAGACTGGCTTCTTTTGGTTAATAATTTATGTTTAAGATTTCTCCATGATTGCTCACTAATGGCTCATTTTTTATTTTTAAAATTTATTTACATTTTACTTTATTATTTTAAGTAGTCATACAAATGGTTTCAGTTGAACAAATTAGTAGTTTATAAGTACAGTACTTACAGTGTGTATGTGTGTGTGTGTGTGTGTATGTGTGTGCTGGTACTGGGGCTTGAACTGTGTTTTTTTTTTGCTCAAAGCTAGTACTCTTCCTCTTGACTAAAAATCCATTTCTATTTTTTTGGTCGTTAGAGATAGGAATCTTTATCGACTCTTTTTCTCAAGCTAGTTTCCCTGATCCTCATGTCTGCCTCCCGAGTAACTGGGATTAGAATTATAACCCAAAAGTACCCTATTAAGTACAATATATCTTGATTAATGTCACCTCTTTTATCAGTATCTCTGATCTTTCCCAACTCTACTCAAGTCCTGAAGTTATGTCATTATATACTTCTTGATTGATTGTATTATGTATTCTGTTCCATATATGTAGATATAAATATCTACATATATATGTATAATATGTATTATATAAATAATATACATAATTTGTGTGTATATATATGTCTATATGTATTTGTTCATCTTCTAGATCAGTCATTACTTAGCTTACTATCTCAGAACCAACCTGTTACAAACTAACTCATCAGCCTTTCTCTGAAGTGATTCATTCTTAGTTGGGTGAAGCTGATCAAGATGCACTGTACTCATAAATTGACATGCTGTGTTGATATCCTTTTGTACTAAAGATGATAAAAAGTAAATAAGAACTATAAGCAAAAGCAAAATCCTCATGTTTTCTTGGTGATCATTTAGAGACTAAAATTGGAAATTGCAGTAGATTGCCTTGGTTGTCTTTCGCTTCTCCAAGCCAATGTCTAATAAATGTCTTGGAATGATGTGTTTGATAGTTATTTGTGAATTTAATTAGAATTGATGTGCTTTCTGCCTTTAAATTATTCATTCCCTGGAAGCAATGTCTCTAAAGGCACTCAGAAGTAGAAAGGGTGAGTAGGCCCAAACAGGATTCTTCAACTGACACAATCAGTTCAGGTAAAATACTAAGATTACTGGCGACTATGTGCTGGACTTTCTAAAGAAATTTGTAAGGATGAGTTAAAAACATTTTCTGATATTACAACTTTGCAATACAAACAGTAAACTGTATATCAAATTTAAAAACAACCACTGTTAACATTGTTAAATCTACCACACAAAACTAAAGGAATTATGGCCTCCATTTTACCTTTATCTGGCCTTTCTCACATGGTTCACTGCACACAGATCTGATGATGTGATTCTTTTTGGACCATACTTCATCGTCATCCATTTTTAATTCTCCATTGTCCCAACTTCCAACATTGATGTAATCAAAATAATCTTTTCCCATTTCCTTGAAATTCATTATTTCATACCTTAGAAACAAGAATATAATAATTATTCAACAAGAAATATTAATACTGATCTATGAAAATGTAACACTTGTAATTACCTAAAATATGTCAGATATGTCTACTGTAATTTAAGTAATACTAGAATTTTCTGTGACAGCTTATGCACTTAGACACTATCCGTTTCATTGTCTCTCCAAAGGCCTAATTACCTTCCTTCTTTTCCTTTCCTTTCCTTTCCTTTTCTTCCTTCCTTTCTTTCTCTTACTTTCTTTCTTTGCCTTCTCTTTCTCTCTCCTTGTTTATGTCACTCTCTTTCTTTCCTTTTTTTCATTTTATATTCAAGCTTACACTTGAAATATAAAGTAATCCCATGTGAGAAGATACCTTGACCTTTGTAGGATGAAAGACATTTTTGAAATAACTTCAAGAAGTTTAAACAAGGACTGCTGAAGTGCTTCTAAAAGAAGATAAGAAGGTTTTTATCTCCACTTAAATAGCATGATAAAAATTTCCTTTACTAACTGAGATAATTGGTAAATCTTTAATCTTATTATTAACATTAAAGAATGTGAGAGAAATTGTATAAAATTTGATTTAACCTTTTTAGTTAACCATTTATAAATGGCTAAATTCACTGTATAAAAACAAATTTAGAAGTGAAGTTTAAAAATAAATCTGAGGAGTCTTTAAAGCTCCTAATGCAGTGTAAAAATGCTGGAAGGGAGGTTTATAGCTTTTTTTTATTGTGAAAATACTGTACAGAGGGGTTACTATTACATGGGCAAGACAATTAGTACATTTCTTATCAAGCATTGTAGCCTCCTCCTTTGTTTCCCCTTCCCATCCCATCCTCTTCCTGTCCCCCCACCCAACCTTCCTCCCCCCCACCTACCAAAGTTGTAAAGTTCATTTTTGACATAACGACTTGTACGTCTCATTGAAGGGAAAAAACAAATAGTTTATAGCTTTTATAGGATATTATTCTTACTTTGATATGGGGACAAAATATAAAGGGGGAACCCATGTGCTAATTTACAAGCCTTTTCTTGTACGTGAGAACATTTCCAGAAATCTGAGGACAGTGAGTAAGCAGTATCACAACAGCACCAGTGACTACAGGTATGTAATTGGTAGGTATAGGGTATTTAAAAGGCTGTGCTTACTAGAAACCACTGGCTCCATTCTTGGGCCTATGAGTTAACTGATGACAGACTAAAAGCTAAGCATTCTAATATCCATTTTTTATCTGTGTTCTTTGCTTTGAGCTATTCTCTTCAGATATCACTTATCACTTTGCAGCCACCCTGCAATCCAAGAAAGACCAGACAGGAACAACAACCATCTACCTATCAGGCACCAATGATTGATAAATCTTTATTTAATTAATTAATTTATTTGTGATGGTCCTAAGGCTTGAACCCAAGGCTTGGACACTGTCCCTGAGCTTTTTTTTTTTTTTTTTTTTTTTTGGGTCCGGTCGTGGGCCCTGAACTCTGGGCCTGGGCACTGTCCCTCAGCTCTTCAGCTCAAGGCTAGTGCTCTACCACTTGAGCCACAGCGCCACTTCCGGCTTTTTTTCTTTTTGCTTATGTGGTGCTGAGGAATCGAACCCAGGGCCTTGAGCATGCAAGGCAAGCGCTCTACCACTGAGCCACCTTCCCAGCCCTCCCTGAGCTTTTTTTATGCTTAAGGCTAGTGCCTGCCACTTGAGGGACAGCTCCACTTCTGGCTTTTGGTAGTTTATTGGAGATGAGTCTCACAGACTTTTCTGTCTGGCTTTGAACTGCCATCCTAAGATCTCAGCCTTCTTATTAGCTACAATTACAAGCATGAGCCACCAGCTGGTTGATAACTTTTAATGTAATAAGGCCCCAGCCTGCCAAGCTGTTTTGACACAGCTATCAGACCACCTATGATCACAGATCCCAATTATGACTGCGGCAGTTTAATAATTGTGTGTACTATCTCCTATTTTATTCAAACCTAAAGAAAATGTCTGCATGTGAAAGAGGTTTAAAAATGCTTTCTCTTTATCTGCTGCTAACCCATTTCTTTATTTGGCATGTTGAGGTAAGTAGCTGGACCTAACTTTGGAAATGCATGAGTTTGGCTTAAAATCTGCTGTCTGTACAGATACGAAATATCTTGCATAATTTTCTGTGCTTTTGGCTCAGGGCTTTCTTTTCTCTTTCTTTCAGTCATTTGTGTGTGTGTGTGTGTGTGTGTGTGTGTGTGTGTGTGTGTGTGTGTATGCACCAGAACTGAAGCTTGAGCTGAGGGCCTGTGCACTATCTTTCGTTTTTTGGTTAAAGCTTAGTTCTCCACCACTTGAGTCACAGCTCCACTTCTAGCTTTTGGTAATTAATAGAAGATAATTGTCTTGTGGACATTCTTGCCCAGGCTGGCTTTGAACTGTGATCTTCAGATCTCATCTAAGATTACCGTCATGGGCCACCAGCACCTCAGGGCTTTCAGTAGCTGCATATAGGTTAAGGAATACCATCTCTGACTATCCATGTTCTACAGGTTGAGCTCTCTGAAAATGGATTTGGGTTCCAGTGATCTGATTGCAGTACTGTAACCCATGCTTGGAACAGAAAGACAAAAGAACAGAGTTGGCACCAGTCTATTAAAACCACATTGTAAAATGGTGTCATTGTGTTTTATTCCCAGTTCCATTTTATAGGACAATGTCGTTCTTATAATGCTAATTCATCTTAAAATTTTGTTGCTTGCTCTGTAGCTAAGGATAATCCTGTAATGTTTTGTTTGCAGTTGGTGACAATTTTGGGTCAGTGCCTCAATTCCAATTCTCAATCAAAATTCATAAGAGACATAATTTCTAGACTGTCCCAGTTATCCCCTGGTGACTGAGCATGCCATGACTGAAATATTAGAACACAGAGCACTAAAGCAAGAAGAATTTATGGATTATGTCACTGCCTACTTCCAATATGTAGGCCTGTAAGCCTTAGAAGATGAGCTTGTTGATTTGCCATTGACAAGAAATCTCAATGTCAGAAAGCTTCTTTCCTAGCAACTGATAATTTGAAGAGATAAGAGGGTTTTATTCCTCACACACTAAAATGAGCTCTCAGCTCCATTTCTACCAGTGTTTAACCTTGGCAATGTCTAGTTGGAGCAGTTTCTTTTATAGATAATGGAGTTGAAGCTAAGTGAGGCTGATTGTTACAATCATGTTGCAGAGAACTGAAGTGGCAGAAGCCAAGCTTTCCATAATCCACTTGGATTTCAAGTCTTTTGATCTCTCTTCTCCATTAGATTACCATAGTTCCACTTGAAACAGCTAATAGACCTTTTTTTTTGTGGTGTTACCCCAGATCTCCTTGCAACAGCTACATGATCCTCCCAAATTTTAAGCTGTTTATCCTCCCCAGATTTTAAGCTGTTTATTTCCATAACCTGGGCCCTTGGTTTTATACATAAGAAATGGCAAAAGTGAAATAATTCAGTTTTTGAAAATAGTCATGAAAACTGTGTAGAAGGGTAAGTATCATGTTTGACAGAGAGATGATTTTAAGAAAAGTTGAATCTTAAATTTGGATTTGCCCATCGGTTGTAATAAGAGAAACTATGAATCTGTACTTCTGAATTGAACTTATTTTCTCATAATTATTGATTATCTATAGAACAAACCAAAGTGATATTATCAGTAAGATCTGTGGTTATGAACGAGTAACATTTTGTTAAAACTTTCAGTAGTAGGAAGGAGAAGATGAAGAAGGTAAAGAAGACAAAGAAGATGAGGAAAGACAAAGAAGAGGAAAAATAAGAGGAAGAAGAAAGAGGAAGAAGAGAAGGAGGAGGACAAGGAGAACAATGATGACATAATGATTCTCTACAACTGAGACCCAAAGATAGCCCAGGCAGTACAGTTCATATAGTAGAGACTGTTATCTCCAATTAACTACCAAAAACCTAGAAGTGGAGGTGTGGCACAAATCATGAGTGCTAGCTTTGTGTGGAATTAAGAGCAAGAGATCAAGGCTCTGAGTTCAAGCTTCATTATTGGCACTAACGAATAATAACATCAACAAATCCCAAAACCAAAATGTTTCAAAACTAACCTTATTTCAGGTAAGAATTAAAATATTTAATGAAGCCAGGCACTAGTGACTCACACCTAGCTATTCTAGCTATTCAGGAAGCTGAGATCTGAGGGTTGTGTTTCAAAGTTAGACTGGGCAGAAGTCCATGAGACACATCTCCAATTAGCCACCAGAAAACTGGGGTGCTCTGGCTCAAAGTAGTAGAGTATGAGCCTTGAGCAAAAGAGATCAAAGAAAGTGTCCAGGCCCCAAATTCAATCCCCATGACTGACAATGAGTAAATAAATTAATATTTGTGTGTGTATGTACACACATATATTTGTTGACTTCACATTAATGCATCACATAAATATGGAAAACTGCAGTTTTTACAAAAGAGTATATTCTTTTTTTTAGGAGGGGGATGGATTTTGTAGAGATCCCAGTTATAACACATCAGTGTTAGAAACAACTATTAGAGCAGACTCTAATAGAATTAGAATTCTAGTTACAGGACAATGAATATATCTCTGACCTGGGTTCTTTCTCTCTTTCTTCTCTCCCCTTCAATGCTTTTTCCTCTCACTGTGCTGTTTTCCTCTGACACTTCCTCCTCCTTACTTTGGGTCCCTGTGTAGGACCTGTTTTCTTACATCTCCCCTCTTTCCATTTGCTGTGATTGAATGCCGACACATCCTTATGTAGCTATAATTTAGAACTGAAATATCCTAAGTTTTAAAATAAATTTTATATAAATTTTCAAAAACAAAATTGAACAAAACTCAAATAATATACCAATAAGAACAACTGCTGTTAAAAGAAATGCAAATCAAAACAACAATGAGATTCCACCTCACCTCAGATAGAATGGCTATAATCAAGAAATCTAATAAAACAGATGATGGAGAGGATGTGATCAAAAGGGAACACTACTGCACTGTTGGTGGGAATGTAAACTTGTTCAACCACTCT